CATGTCTTGTTTAGACATGGCTATTATCAAGCTGAAATACATGAGAACGATAAGCACAAGACAGCGTTCATAAATAAAAATGGACTTTTTGAGCACATAGCCTCAGTTTTTGATTATGTAATAGTCCTTCATTTTTCTTCAGCGAATGATACAGTTAGTGTTGACAGGTTTGACATGGAAAATATGCTTTGCATACATTGATGACTTATTGTTTTGGGTAAAGATTTTGAAGACTATCTTGCAAATTTAAGAACTGTACTAGAAAGATTTAGGAAAAATAATCTCAAACTGAAGCCACAAAAATGAAATTTTTCCAAAAAGAAGTTATTTTCTTGGGCAAACTTCTAAATGAGAAAGGAAAAGCTGTCAATCACGCTAGTAGAGAAGTAATATTAAATTGGCAAATTCCTGTTACTAAGAAAGCTGTAGAATCTTTACTTGGGTTCGCTAACTATCATAAGGAGCATATTAAAAGCTTTTTTACCCTTACCGAACCCCTGTATGCATTTAAGAAGATAAAGTATTTTTCAATGGGAAAAAACAACACCAAACAGCTTCTGAATCATTGCAACAGGCACTTGTCGATTCAGTTACATTAGCATATCCAGAACCAAATGAAAAGCTCGTTTTAGATATAGATGCCTCACACACCACCATAGGAGCAGAATTATTACAAGTGATTGGTGGGAAAGAATATGTAATAAGTTATGCGAGTAAAGTCTTGGCACCAGCCCAAAAGAGATATTGTACCTCTAGAAAAGAACTGCTAGCTATTGTAGTTTTTACCAGACAATTCAGGAATTACCTTTTAGGTCAACAATTGATCATAAGAACAGATCACAACAGTTTAACATAGCTACTCAGGTTTAAAATGATCGAAGGACAGTTAGACAGATGGTTAGATGAATTGTCTCAATATGACATGGTTATTCATCATAGGGCATGGAAATTACACACCAATGCAGATAGGCTATCAAAAAGACCAGATGATTAGGACTCTTGGAATTGTTATTTTGCTGGTGCAGAAATAAAATCGCTACCTTGCGGTCGTTGCTCATATTGTACTCGAGCACAGAAGTTTGGAGTTCCTTTGAAGACGATGTTGATTATGTAGTTCCATTGTCTGAAATGAGTGTTTCTGAACAAATTGGAGATGAAGTCAATTTAGACAGCCTAGTGTGTAGTCACTATTGCAATTGGATAAGTGAGTCTGAAATTCCCAATATAGAAACTGAACAAAGGAAAGATCAAGATCTTTTAATCAGATTAATAATATGGTTGGAGGACAAAAAGGAACAAGATGAACATGAATTGTATTTATGTAGCCCTTCTATTAAACATTTTTGGAATTGTAAGCATCAATTAGTGCTTAAGGATGGTTTATTATGCTATAAATGGTTAGATCCAGTTCATTCAAGACTGTTACTAGTTGTCCCGAGGTCTCTGAGACAACAAATTTTAGAGAATTGTCATGACAACAAATTATCAGGGCATTTTGGACAGGCAAAAACCATTGAAAGATTAAAACAGAGCAACATTTGGTATGGATTACGTGAAGATGCTAGAAATTATGTGAAATCTTGTCACACCTGTAATGTGAACAAAAATGCAAACATCAAACTAAAGGGGCCTTTAGGTCAATTCCATGCAGGAATTCATATGAAAATATTGCACATGGACATCCTGGGACCATTACATGAAAGTTCTTCTACTAACAAATATATATTAGTGTTAGTATCAAATTAGAAAATGGATGGAGATGTTTCCTTTACCCAATCAAAACACTATGACTGTGGCTTAAACTTTATTAGTTGGCTTCATTTCAAGAATGGGATGTCCAGTCCAGTCCAAATTCACACTGATCAAGGGAAAAATGTTGATGGTGATTTATTTCATGATATTTGCAGACTGTTGCAAATCGTCAAGACTAGGACCACTCTATATAGGCATTGTTCTAACGGACAATTTTAGAGGTTTAATTGCACCATTTTACAAGCCATCAGATGTTACTTAAAGGGAAAGCAGAAAGATTGGGATCTTCATTTACAAACCATAGCTGGTGCTATAAGATCAACTGTAAATAGACAGACAGGGTTTACACCAAACATTATAATGCAACATCGTTTGTAACGTTCATTTTGATTGGATAACGCCACCAATTTGCATGGCATCAATTCACAATTTTAGAAACTATATCCAAAATGTTAACAGAATCGGTTCTTGATATATTACCAATTCCCATGATATTATCATTAAGACCGAGAGGATAGACTGTCTGTAATTTTTAATCTAATTTAATTCAATTATTTTCCGTGATCGTACAAATATAAAAAAGAAGATGTGGTATGATTGCCAATGAGACAACTCTCCACAAGAGACCAAATGACACAGAAATTAACAACTATAGGTCACCGTACGGCCTTCAACAACGAGCAAATCCCATACCGTACAGTCAGCTATAAACGGCCACGAAATGACAATGTAAAACAATTCAAACGAGAAAACTAACGGCCTAATTTATGTACAAAAAATGAACGAAAAACAAATATGTAACACATAAACAAACGACAACCACTGAATTACAGGGTCCTGACTTGGGACAGGCACAAACATACAGAATGTGGCGGGGTTTAACATGTTAGCGGGATCCCAACCCTCCCCCTAACCTGGGACAGTGGTGTAACAGTACAACATAAGAACGAACTATAAAAATCAGTTGAAAGAGGCTTAACTCATCAGATTTATAAAAATACAAATATTACAAATACAAGTGGACGTGGCTGGGTACTTGTACATCCAAACAACAAAAAGACACTAAGTACAGATCTGAGAGTACTCGCAGTTACTGACAGCCAGTTCAAAGCCACTAACAACTTATAAAAATAATCATGCATCTAAGACTAAATTATCAATCCGTACACATCCAACATCCAATGGTAAAGACGTCATAAACAGTCAGAGAAAAACATGACCTTGTGCGATGCCAAGCTACAGGTATCGACAGATTGTAGATCCATGAATGTGTATATGTAAATAACAATAATATTTAGTTTGCTTTTAATTTACTGATAACAAAATCAATATTAGTACCAATAAAAACAATATGTAATGATCTAATTACAGTGTTGAATTGATAACCTTTTAGAATAAGTTTATTTAAAGGATCGATAAGTTTACCAGGATCGTTTCTAAATTTCCGGGCACGGTAAACAATATTGCCGTAAAAATGAGGATGTGCAATCCCGTTTGAAATAAGTTTTCTACAGGTACAACCAAACTTCAAAACCAAATATTGATATCTGTGGAAGAATTTAGTAAAGGTTTTAAGTAATTTGTGGTAACGAAATCCCTGGCTTAATAACTTACCAGTAATACATAGATTACGTTCGTTAAAATCAAAAACGTCACAACAGACACGGGCATAGCGAACGAGTTGTGAAATATAAACACCGTAAGATGGTGCCAAAGGAACATCACCATCCAAAAAGGAAAAATTAACAATAGGGAACGAAAAATCGTCCCTTTTGTCGTAAATTTTAGTGTGGAGTTTCCCGTGTAAAACCGAAATATCTAAATCTAGGAAAGGACAGTTGTTACCGTTTAAATTTGGTTTATTTAAAGTAAGTTCCTTTGGGTATATTTTGGCAGTATATTGAGAAAATTCTTGATTATTTAACGAAAAAATATCATCAAGATAACGGTAAGTGTTGTTGATATTATCAATTAAATGCAATTTAGACGGGTCTTTACTGAGTTTGGTCATAAACTGTGATTCATAACAGTACAAAAACAAGTCTGCTATTAAAGGGGCGCAATTAGTGCCCATAGGAATACCTACAACCTGTCGATAAACTTTGCTGCCGAAACGTACATAAATATTATCAAGGAGAAAATTAACAGCTTCAATTATCTCATCACACCTCCAGTAAGTATATCTAGTATATATACCTTTCTAAACTTTGAATGAGATTCCCCAGGCTGCTTATTTACTACTTCTAAAGGTTGAACTGTTTAATATTTAATAGGATGATTGTGCCGACTTCTAACAAACTGAATGGCGTTATCTATCAAAATAATTTTCAATAGTAATTATTTTTACGGCTATGATCTGACCGCTAAGCTATAAATTTCTGACGAGACACAGAAACATAAACACACCCGAAAGTCGTTATAGATCATTAAGAGAATTAAGACATCTCAACCAAGCAACAAAATGCAGCTGTCGGAACAATTATAAACCAAATTATATGCTATTTATGCAAATAATTTAAAATATATCCGAGTTTACATCAGATATGAGATGCAATTGTAATGTAGTCAATTTACGTTGAACAAACGAAAAATCAATTTATCTTTTCATCCTGTCATAAAATTTTGATAATTAAAAAAATATAAATTACGCATGTACAGCTGTCATCTAATAACAGCAGTTGAAAATCAGTTTAGATCCTGATGATGCATTATCATAAAATCTTTGGAAAAATCTACGAAATATTAAATATTGATTTAATAAAATGTTAATTTAGATATCAGGGCTGATATGCATAAAACCACTTATCTCAGATGGTGCCATTAAAACAAAATACAGATATGGTTTGGAGATATCTGGCCACAGCTTTTATTCATAATATAGATTCATATGATATATATATATATATAGATAGATAGATAGATGTATATGTATTTGTAGATAGATATATGGTTGGTTACCCGAAGATAATATGGCAACCTTGCTGCAAAATGCAGATAGATAGATAGATATATATGAAAATGTAAAGATGCACCGTGGGATACACTGGTGCTTCAAATTTAGAAAACACCGTGGGATACACAAGTGTAGTCTGTATTATCCAAAAACCTAAAATTTCATAGTTAACATTAAGATTCTATGCAGCGAATTCTGCCACATTGACGGAGGAAAACAGAGACTCTGTCAACCGCCATAAAAAGGGCGGTTCGCTGCAAAGCTGTGAACCAGATATGAGATAACTACAGATAGATAGATAGATATTTTTATTCAAAGTACAACTTGGTACATATATATGTTAAATAATCTATATGATGTTTTGTGAACAACTGTTCAAAAACATATTTACCTACACAGATAAAAATACTAACCAAAACTACACCAAACCCTAAGATAGTTGATTGTATTTGTATACCATAAAATATAGTATATTATAGTATATCATCAAATATATATTCAAGATGTTTAACAATTCATTTCATAAGCATGTTAAGGGTGACAAGTGAAAAACATCCAGTTGAAAAATTTCTGGTCTGATCGAAAATCATAATATTTTATGTAGCAACCCTGACAGCTAATTATAAAGGCAATAATATAGTTGTATATTCTATAGCAACACAAGTCCATGCTTTGCAATAACCTGGTCAAATTTGAGACCATACTTACTTAAGAATTGATGAACAGCATAATCCATCTGATCATGTTCTTCGTCTCATTGTGCAAAAATCCCACTCTAGAACTACCTGTGTCATTACCTGCTACATGTTTTATTAAGAAATATGGTGGATCCTCATAGTTTCATGTTCTGAGTTAACTTTTAACATGCTTGACAATCATGCCATCACAAAGATTCATTTCCGTGCCTAGACCTAAGTCAACCCCATCTGGAGGATGTCGGTCTGCTACAAAAACATACTTACTATTGAGGATTCTACTATCCGAACATTAAAGCTAATAGGATCTCCTACAATTCTTGTACAGCAAATAGCTACATGGAATTATATGTTACATATGTAATACCAATACAATTTAAAGCATAATTAATCGAGAAAAATAATAATTCTTCTGTAACCCCTGTCTTAAGTTGTCAGCATTGGATCTCCGACCCTTTAATAATCCTCAAAAACAATTGAAAAGACAGCTTCAAACACACTGAATTCATACCAAGTTTAGCCAACAACAAGATAAGGAAATATTTGCTAGACTTCAGCATGACTCTGGTTAAGGTAAATGTAAAGCCTGGAGTGTTTAATACCTTCTTAAAAACTGACAAACCTCAATTTTTTTTTTTGACACATCTGTTAAATTTTCCTAAAAAAATATCCAAACCTAGTAAAAGTTATGTCACAATTTTTGTTGAGAGAGATACAAAATGTACAAGTAAGCAATACCTTAACAATTCATAGAGAGAGATAGGAAATGTATTCATTAAAACAATTAGAGATCTGAACTCATGAAAAAAGAAAGACTGTCCTCTCTGATACATCTGTATGTACTGGGTGCTGTGGAACTTGCAATTAAACGGTTACTAAAGGTCTGAAATAACAGTAATAAAACCCGTGGGGTAATAGCAGGATAAACATCTGCAGTTGGGACCAAGCATCTGAAGCGATCCACCTAAAAACCAGAAATGGCTTCAGCCATAATGAAAAATTTGTACCAGAACAGTGATAATGAATGTCATACTAAACTCCAAAATATATGAACTAAAATAAAAATTCATACAAGGCTAACATAGGCCAGAGGCTCCAGACTTGGAACAGGTACTAAATTGCGGAGGGGTTAAACAAGTTATTTAAAATCTCAACCAAATGCAGAACAAACAAACACACAACAATACGCACAGTAAAAATCACACAGTTTAAAGAAGTCCGAGTCCAATATCAGAATAGGTAACAAAACAAACAAAACAAAATTTGAAAAATGACGACATTACATAAATCAACAATGGACTACTAACAGTTACTGACATGCCAGCTCCAGACCTCAATTTAACTGTTCGAAAGATTATGTCTCCATTATATGAAATATCTAGCACCATCCCTCCAATGGGGGTTTAGTATCATATCATCATAACATAATGATATATTAGAGGAACATAACCCGTATCAACCAGCAACTGGTTTAAGAATAAATGAGTTTTTGTCCGATGCAAAGACTGTGCAAGTGAATCAATATTGAAGCCAAAATATGCCATTTTTTATGCAGGCAACAGTATTCCTTCTTTATAAGTTTGCTTTAATGTTTTGTTAGCTTTTGAGGTAAACTGACATTTTGTACTTTGTAAAGTATATTACCATAAAAGATTGGATGGGAAATACCTGAATGTGTAAGATGTCTATGTAGAAGTGAATTTCTTATAATGTTATAAAACTGCCCATAAATACAAGGCAAGAAGAACTGGATCAACTCAGGCAAATGCAAATTTCAAAGAATGACTATGAGGACCTGTATACTAGAGTCTAAATCCATGTAAGAAGAAACAAACATTTAGTATAACAGCAGCAACCACTCTCTGTCTCGTCTTGGGTTTGAACCAGGTTGCCCAAATGAAAACTTATTTCCATTTGAGGTCTAGTTGATCTGAAACTTGGATTATCATAAGAAGGCCTAGATTATGCAAAGTAAACATGGTAAATGTCTCCTGTTAGGACAACAAACAAGTTATAAAGGATGACCTGTGTTACACAAAAAAAAAAAACAAAAAAAAAAACACAAACAAGCTGCTTAACAACATCTAGGTACCCTCATAATTAAAAGCATAACATTTCAAATTAGTCCCAGTGTTCATGCTAACTGAAATTCAACCTGTACTATAATTTTCATTAATAAATATCAACCATAATTTGGAATCAACAGTAGCCCAGCAACCAGTAGGGCCAATGGTTTTATGCAAATGAAATTGTTGTCATAATGCTTCCAGCCTAAAATTAACAAAGCTTGGCACCTAAATGTACAGCGTAAGATACTCATCTATTTGAGCAACTCCTAGAATCTTCCAGGATGAAGATTAAAATCAATTCTAGTATATATATAAATTAATGCTGTTGTCGACACCTAAATACTAAAGATTTTTAACTGGTTTGGAGCAGACTGCAAGACAAGCTGTAAATAATTACTTAAATTGTACTAGTTTGTGCTAATATTACATGTACATCAAGGGTCCGGAAACGATCATATTTGCCAGTCGTGTCCTAAGATGAAACTATTTGTCCTAAACGAGTAATTGGGATTTAGGACAAATTTAATTTTTTACAGAAGTAATTTCGGTCATTTCATTGACTCAATGTTTGAAATCGGATTTCGTAATCGCCATTTTGCACTTGTGATCACTTGTTTTTGTTTATAATCCCTTTCCTGTAATAAAACTGCCACTAGATAGTTTGATAATCCTGAGGGCCCTCCTAATATCTATACCAATGCCTCCGGGAAACATTGGCTAATGATCACTAATCACTTTTTACCTGTGGTTTTAATTCACACCTGACAGTGATCACAAGCTCAGAATAATATCTTTAAAACATTAAAGTTCCCTGACATGTGTATTCATTATTTATTTACTTTTCATCAAAGACAGTCATCAATTCTGATTTAAAAATTAAATCTAAATTTACGTAGAAAAAAGTATTTTTTCATGAGTAACACATGTGCTTTATTTACTATGGAATACGCATGCGTGAAATTGTCTTCAGCAAATTTAATATTTAATCGTAAAATGCAAATTGATTTCATGCTAAATTAAACGAGTGCAACTATTATCTGTTATATTCAAACACCTTTAAAGGTAATAAAATAAAAAAGCCGGTGATTTCCTGTTAATTTGATAAACAAAACAAATCCCGGAAATGAATCCGGAATTATTCGTACTTTAAAATATCGCAAACTTCCGGTTTTAACTTTTGTCAAATTGAAAGAAACGTTAGCAATGTCTGAGAAATTAACCATTTTGAGTCATTAAAATCATTTCAATTTTAGACTGTTGCCTTCCCTAAACTGTCCTTCATGGTAATGGTAAGACATTTACTTAGTAAATGCGATGAAACAGCAATACAAGTTCGTCATGTTCGTTGATGCTATGAATATAGTCAAGTTGATATTGGCAATTTGAAAAGGGGCACCAACTTTTCAAACATCTCAAAATGACCGAAATTGTCTGGAAAAATTTCCGGATCCTTGATGTACATACATGTATATATCCTCGCTTATCTGCGTCTGACAATTTACACAAAACTCTGTAATAGTCTCATTTTAAAAATGTTTACAAGATAAAACCATTTTGGCCCCTATTTTCCCTTAAATATATAGAAAAATAAAATTAAAAATAATGAAAATTTCCCACACACCTAAGACTGGTTGGTAGGGTTTGGTCGAACAGAAATATTTGCAGTCTGTCCTAAAATAGTGATCAATAAATATACACTTCTATAAATTTTGTCCTTTATAATTGTGGTACTTTATTGCAACATCTGTATTCATGCAGTACATGCATATCGATTTGTAATATTCAGATTATGTATCAAGATAAATAATATTATATTAGTCAATAGTGTTCTCCATTACAAATCATATGTCACAAATCATATGATAATATACAAAACAACATTTAAAAGTTTCACATGTAATATATTTATAATAATATATAATTGTAACCTTATATTCAAGAACGCATGATGTGGCATCCTCTATAAATTGTAAAAATAACACATTCAGCAATATTTTGTGGATTTAAGTTTAGAAACTGAGATATAATCATTACACAAATCTTTTAAATCTAAACCATAAGATTGGAATAAATATAAAAGTTGCCTTAATCTTTATACATATGTTTGTTATATGTTAGAATCACATGTACATGTAGGGGTTTAACTTAAAAGTACATTGTAATATACTGCTTTTGTAAATCTGATGATTACCTGGTAAATTATCAACTGTGAACTGGAACATACTAATGCAGAGCTCTTGGGGTTTGCATAAATGACATCTGACGATGATCCAATGTACAAATGTATGTGACCTAAAGGAGTTGAGTTAGTGGCGTGATGAGTCGTGAATCCAGTTCAGTCTGGTGTGTCATTGTTGTCTATGTCTCTGGTCCAACTGTAACAACCCTGGTGGTGTTGTGGCAGAGCAAGGTCGCACTTTTCGCTTTCTAACTGATCTTCCCAACATTGTGCTACAACTCAACAAAAAGTAAATATTAGTTCCACCATGCTACAGCATTGACATAACAAAATCAAATGACTGTACAAAGAAACAATAACAATAAAAATATTACGTATACTCCTAGTTGTGTCGAAGATAGTTACAATAATTTTAAAAAAAAAATTAATTTAAAATTAGTATATATACTTGATATATATATTTATTAATTCTTAAATCCATAGTCAGTTGATAGTGACATAGTGTAATATTTGTATATAATTAAGTTATTACAACAATAATTCAAGCTGTGGCCTGTTGATGACATTATGACTAAATTTGTGATTTATCTGAACTATTCATACCATATCGACCTAGTTTAGGCTAGAGAGTAGTAGCAACTATACATGTCACTGTGATGACTGATGTGACAGACTCGACACTCTGACAGTTTTTAGTAACAAGTGTGTAGGTACACGCAAAATTTATAGCAGGATATATACAGATAATGATATATGTTTGCTTAACTCCACCAACAAGCTAACATTTAGACATGACGATTTTTGGCTACTGCTTCTTAACTCTGGGCATGGTCTATGTGCAAGATTTCCAAGATTTTTGTTTATTTGTATCGAAAGTTGAACTTCCGGTTACGAACCTGGGTCCTTTCGCCCCAAAGGGTACGTCCCTTTTACACCTTTGTACGTTCATATCCTTTCATGGAATATTTGCTGTATATGTGCTATGAAAGATCTAGATACACAATTACCGATGTATACCCTTTTAAGGAAAATTTAATTATAATTCGGGAGTTCATCAGATAACGCCTGCCCCACAACACATAAACATTAAAGACACGTTACTAACCTGCATGATCTGTTACAGCGCAAATACAATTGTTAGGCCACAGGAGTTTGATATCCTAGCAATAACGGTGTAAAAATATGCCAAACTCAGTAGTCGTCATATATATACATATGAGTACCTTAATATCAGTATCAGGCAGACTATATACATGCATCTAATTTGATGTAGAAATACAATGACGAAATCATTATAATTATAATCTGCAAATCTTAGGACAATAATGCATCTAATTACTCATATTTGTAAAAATTAAATAATTTATAAAAATGAAAACGAATAATGGGACCAATCTCTTTCAGTCTTTGCATGTGCTCTCCACGTGGCGATGAAATTCCTGATGGAATATGATTAAAAAAATGACGATCGATAAAATGAATTCTTTATAAGATTACTTCTAATAAAAATTGGAAGCATGAGGCAGGTTATAACCATACAATACAAACACTTCTTTACCATTTACAAGATACTACTTTTCATTTTTTTCAATTTTACCGCTTACGAAATTTAAACAGCTTGCTTGCTGCGATGAAATTCTGTAAAGGACTAAATTACGTCACAGAATATAACGTCACTCATGTTAGGTAAATCTAAAACATGAAACACAATCCGTCAGTGGCCCCAGCAATAACTGAATTTAAGTCTATTTACTTAAATTCCATTAAGTTAAGATATCCAATCGTAGTACTAATTTATCGTAGGACATGTAGAAAAGCCGTCCGTTCGAAACAAATCTTAACTTACGTAGTTTTATGTATATCAGCCCTGTTCTTGGAAACAGATTGTTAAAATACTGAAATCTGTAAATTCTTATCGTGAAAGGGTAAGTTGGGTACACTTTTCACATTTAGGGGTTCTTTCGTGCTTTAGTTGTACTTTTTTCTCCTTGTAACATATGAACAAATAATGGATTCAGCATCTCATTTAAGATTGATTTGATTATTTTCATATATTAGAAGGTTAAATGTTGATTTTAAACACTATTATTTCACATTTCTATAGAACCTGATATAAAGGTCAAGTTCCAGTCCTGTATAAGGGGGTGACGAGACCATTTGATATTCTTAGGGAGTGGCAGGAGGTGTTTTTTTCTCGTATTGATCATTTATTTGTTTATTTTTTCCACGTGAAAATTTTCACTTTTGTACATATTTGTTTCCGGCATTTTGTGCTGAAGGTTATTAATTTTCATCCTGTTTAGTGCAAAGTTATTTATTTTCAGTTCTTACTGGTATTCATTTTCATTATCCTCCTCCCCTCCTAGAAAATCAAATTAGCATACTGTAAGTTTCAAGACAGAATGCGTGTTTGAAAAAGAAACATGTGCTGCTATAACTGTTAATGCAATTGCAAGTCTTACTTGTATTGAATTATATCATTTGATTTGACACAGTACCAAAGTCCTATTCATTTAAAAGTACTACAAAAAGAGAGAAGTCCTGCGATTGTACCAAACCCCCAAACCCCCAAACCAACCCCCACCCCCGCTACCTCCTCCACCCACACCTTTTAATTTAGGCCAAACAGAATTAATAACAGTTTTTTATTTTTCTATTTTGAAAATAAAAAGTTGTGTTTTTGTTCTTTTATCTGTGACTATTTGTGTTTGGTTACCACACATGTATAGTCTGCCATAATATTAGTTAGGGTGTTTTATGTCCTATAAAAAAAACTAAATATTCTTAGTCGTCGGTTCCATTGCGGAATTACTTTTCCGAATTATATTTCAAGCTCTGACCGTCTATTTTGTTAGGGGACATGGTTTTTCTCTCGTGACAAACATTGTTTTCTACTTAAATAAAAAAAAGGTATAATTCAATAACATATATACAATGACTAGAAAATTATTTCAAAACGCATTGTATTATTCATTTTCCCCCTAATTTTCAATGGAAACAAAGTATTATGTTCACTTTCCTTCTAAACAAGGACTTACATGTAGTTAGATAATCTATTCAAGAAATTTAAAATCAGACAATACATTTAAAAAAAGCGCCCCCAAAATAGAAATGGACGGTGTTTTATTGAACTTTTGATAATTATCCCTTAAAACAATTAAGGTGGTACATAACACTACAGGGAGATAACTCTATAAAAATCAGCTGAACGTTTTAATCACGTTCTATTGTTAAGGAAATATCAAGCTTCTCAATGATCAAAATTAGTGTTTGTCAAACTGCTTATATCCAATGAAATTTTCCTGATAAAGTGTGTGGTTCAAGTTTTTTGAAATTTTAATTTTTTTGTCAAAGGTTCAAAGTAAATATTTTGTCCATATTTTATGAAAATTAAACGAGCCAAATTAATTTTTGTCAAGGTGTTTGGTACCACCTTAAAGCAACAGTTGTTAGAAGTATATAGATATATGAATATATTTAGAATAATTAGGTTAATGAAACATTTTTTTTTGTTTTTCAAAGCACAACATCCAATAAGGCCGGTACGCGATAATGAAACCTAAATGAAACTAACGTCATATATTTTAGAATATGTGTTGCTATGTAGTTTATTTCGTATATTTGTAAGCTGGTAACGCATTGATATGTTCACCATATCATCTGGTTATTACTTATATAGTTATTAATATCATCTTTACATTACAGTATATTGCACGACGCCGTACAGAAAACAATTCGTTGTTTTGCATTTCGCCGTAAGACGCCCTGCAATTCGCCGTACAGTAAGCAATAGCTGTTTAGGTTCATATTCTTGAGAAAACATCTTTTTGTGAGCGAATTTCAGTAAATATGAAGTCACACTACCATAATCTAAACATTTGTCGGGAAAGAAAAGTAAACAAAATTGGATATCAGGCCAGTGGGAAGTTGGAGGGTGATTGAACTCGAAATTTTCTGGTATCATGCACAGTTTTGGAGTATAACTCAAAATCTTGTCTTTGTTTGCTACTTGTTGATATAAAAAATTAAATCACTATATATCAGAAAATCGTTTCATAAGCGGTTATCTCATCAAAACGACAGAAATGGTTTAAATTAAAGGAATTCTTACCTTGTTTACTTTTTCCTCCTTTCACTCCGCTTCGTTGGTACTCAATTTCCAATGGCGATGATACACAGTGATGACAGACCAAATTTAGAAACAGTTTTAGCAGAACAACCGGTTTTTTCAGAACAATCGTTGCAAAAATCAGTTTAAAGTTAAGGTTCATGTCGACACTTTTGCTAAAATGATTGTTTTTTAACCTGAAAATTTAATCTGAGAACAGACAAACCTGTGTGTCTGGAAACGTTTTCAGGCATATCATGCCTTGGATAATTCAAGTACAAATGCATTTTATGTTTTAAAGAATTAAAAACTTACCTAGATTTTGCTGCATGTGCACTTTTTTTTCGTTCCTGCAGAAGATGAAAAATTAACAAACAATTGAGTTTCACTTGATATGGTCCACTCAAATACACAGTTTAACTCACCAATCATTGTCAGTAGATAGATATAAGAAGATGTGGTATAAGTGCCAATGACACAACTCTCCATCCAAGTCACAATTTGTCAAAGTAAACAATTATAGGTCAAAGTACAGCCTTCAACACGGAGCCTTGGCTCACACAGCAAGCTATAAAGGACCCCAAAAATGACTAATGTAAAACCATTCAAACAGGAAAACCAACGGTCTAATCTATATAATAACGAGAAACGAGAAACACTTGTGAACCACATCAACAAACGACAAATGAAAACGGACAGGTGCAAACAAATTCAGCGGGTTAAAACATGGAGTACGGAAATATTTTTTATTGTCTTTCTATTGTCCATCTCAATCAATACAGTTCACTTCAATTATTACGTATGGGGAACTTCTCAAACATCTTTCCCAATTTTGTTTAATTTTGCACCTTCTGTAGGAACGAAAAAAAGTGCGCTGCAAATTTCAGTTAAGTTTTTAATTTTCTAAAACATAAAATGCATTTGAATTTTATTTTTCTAGGGCATGCTATGCCTTAAAACTTTTCCAGATACACAGGTTTGTCTGTACTCAGAGTAAATTTTTAGGTGAAAACACAGCCTTTTAGTCATGGGGTCCACTAAACCTTCAACTGCTTGAAATACAGAAAATGTGTCCACGCTTCGCTTTGTGTCTGCATTTTGATCAGACTTATTGAGGGTCAGCAAATTTTAAACTGTCCAAACATTTTGAAAGAGGAAAAGAGGGTTCGAAGTTTAAAACTGAGACAAATGTTCTGTCACATGAACTTCTTTATTCCAGTAGAGGACAATCAATGTTTATCAGTTGGTTTGTGCTATAACATTATTGTTCTACTGAATTAATTGTTACTCAAACTTTGCGTGTGTTTGCATTTCAAACGAATGTGATATAGTACTTGCAACATACTACTGGAAAATAATCTATCTTTTGGAGCAGATGATTGATATATTCCACCAAAGACATATAATACATTGTATTACATGTTTCTGATTCCACTCTGTGTAGAATGAAAATAACACTATAAATTTGTGCTTTTAAAGGGCTTTTCTGTATTTACCGTCATCGGGAACGCTCAAATCCAAAATATCAAAAGTTAGGGATGTTTAAATTTTTGAGGAAATATATGCCTATAACTGTAAATTATTTTTTTTTTGTGTGTGGCTTTTTGATGATCATTTATCAAACCTAGATTTTCATCGTTTGGATTTCTACAGAAGTCACACTATATATATGAATAAAAGGAGTTGTGGTTCAGATACATCATAGACATAGCTACCAACCAAAAAAAAATACAAAGAGGCTATTTATAGATCAGTTTGGTCGAAGCACGTATAAAACTACAGTTATTGTAAGATATAAGAGAAAATAATCGAAATATAAAAGTTTTTTTAAATCTTTTAAAAAAACACAAAAATGAGATAAGGACCATGCGCTAAGCTGCGGTGAAATAATGATGCAATTAAGATTTTAGACAATTATACCAAGTTAAAATTCACTCATGTCATTGCAGAGTGACAATACCTTACTTTCGGTTGTTAAATTGAAATTCTTCCGTAAACTCCCAATTCACAGCTAATAAGTATGAGTGAACCGGAAAT